AGAGCGAACTAATTTGGTCTTGACTCTACCTTTAGTTCTAGGGAAGGAGCAAGATAATAAGTTGGTAAGATGATCGCCATTGCCAGTAGTAACCAATGTATCATCCAATATGTTCCCGAGCTGGAGTTGGTCTCCATTCTTCTTCTTTCTCCTGGAATAGACCTGTCATTCCTCATCCAAAGAATTAGTTTGATGGGGTGGTAGAGCTGAAGCAGAATGAATACCAACCGTAGTACCCATAATAAAATCTAGTATATGTGAAGTATGAGTTGCCTCTACACCGGATACTTCCTTAAGAAGTGGAGCTACGAGGCTTTCCTGATTATCAGTCTGAACACTATCATTTGTAGGTAATAGTCCATCAGTATTGTTTTCTATGGGGTTTGAAGGTGTCAGCACCACATCACTCGCAATATTAGTAACAGCAGTAGGGGCAACAAACACCTCATGTCTGGTAGTATCCTCCCCAGATGGAACTAAAATGTCCAGAGCAGTGGGGTTAGACCCATCCTTATTCACTTGAACCTTAGATTTCAAATTTGGATGAAACTTGTGGCATTTATCAACATGACCAAACATCTTACAGTGAGTACAATATGGGGGTCTGTGCTCCATGACAATTTGTTGCCAATAATCATTATGAGTTGTGCCCAGCCAGACTTCAGTGAAAGAATAGTTTTCATGGTAGTAATATCCCTTTCCACAAGTATTCTGGAGACCGAGGGTCTGGTTAGGTTGAAAGTAGGCAGATCTAGTTTCAAAGGATCCCCAAGGATGACCCCAATAGAATAGAGAACCAGATGGTGAAAAAAATGCAGCTTGAGACCAGGTAAATTAAACCATATTGGTACAGTGAGGGTTTCATGATTTGGGTCGAAATCAGGAGACCATTTGAGTAGCTTCATAGGTTTACCAGCGATGTTAAGATATTTTCTTAAGAAAATTCAAGTGTAGTCTTCAGGCACGATTAACTGAATCAAAACATGTTTCCCATCCATGAGCCCCACTTTATACTTTTCTATTAATTTGAGGTCATCAAAACTTTTCCTGATAATTTCCATAGGTGGGTGTCCCCATTGAAATTTTCCAATAAAAGCAAATTTGAATTTGTCAGTCAGCGTTGAAATTTCTAATGTGGAGAAAAAGAGTGCCGCCTTCCCACTTTTTCTGCTCTCATTCTTAATAAAAGGATAGTCACCTGTACCATCACGATTCTCCTTATAACTTGAAGGAAAGACAACCGCCGTCTCCTCCTGAGGCCACGTGGGCAAATGAGGTTTTTTCAGGTTCAATCGAAGAAGAAGGAAACTCTATCACAGCAAAGAGAAGCCCTGCAAGTTCGGCAGAGGGCAAAAAAAATGAGCAGAAGAGTTTGGGGCGAAGCTGGCAGAAGACATGAACCTCTGAATGCGCAAAAGACGGTAAGAAATCACAGCTCGACAAATAAGCGCAACTCGTTCCACGCAGAAAAGAACTGCAGAAGAGGCACAAAGGAGGAGACGATGAAACAGCAGAAAGCAGACGCCGAAGCCCTTCGTCGTTTGGCGTGAAAGAGAAGACGACGATCGCAAGGTAGAGTTCGTCGTCGTCGCCGAGTGTAGGAAATAGCGTCGTCGTCGTCGAGTGTGGGAAACTTCGTCTTCGTCGTCGAGTCAGGAATCAAACCAGGTTTTCACCATCGGGCGAAACCCTAGCAAACAGATCGCCGTGTCAGAGACAGTATATGAATATCTCATATATATATAGATATATATTATTAAGTTTTAGTATTAAACTAATTTAATAAGGCTTACCTTGGTTGAGTCCTACACCATGCGAGAAAAAGCATTCTCTGCACGCGGGATCCAGTCTCTGTACGCAGCGTGCTCTTCTTCTCCTGTCGTCACCACCTTATCCTCCAGTTTAGAGTTCTAAACACACACGACCAATGTTTTGACTCCCTCCTATGTCGTCCTCTCCTTCACATGCCGCTCGATGCAATAAAGAAAAGAAGCGATCCTCTTCTTCGCTCGAGCACAACACACGTCGTTGTATCCTCGGGTAAGAAAAACTCTCAACACATCTTTTTCCTTCCTTTTCTCTTTGATCGCCCACTTAAGAGCTCCCGTCTCACGCGTCGATTTATAGGGCGAGCTCGTCTGACTTCCTTTCCCCTTTGTTTGGCTGCCCAACTCCTCATTTTTTCTTCTTTAATTTTGTTTTTTCTCCCCCGGTATCTGAAACAAGTTGTCACAAGAAACGAGTCATCAGTCTTCCCCACTTACAAAAATTTTGTCCTCAAAATTAATAAACAAACCTCAAGTCATTTCTCATTAAGCAGTTCAACACTAGCTATCCATAAATTTTTTTGATAAAACTAGGGATCATTAATTAAGATGAAAGTAAACACTATAATGTAAATATTCGATATAAGACTATTCAACCATACTTCGTATAGCAACACACAGTTGCTGAAGCAATAAAGTATGGTAGGAAAATACTCTTATATGAGAAAGCGCCAAACTCGTTAGACATCATCATCATTAGCATCAGTAGGTTCTTCAGGCTCATTATGAGTAATGGAATATACTTGAGGTCAAATAGGTTGCCTTGGTTGACCTTGGGTAGGAGCTGAAGCTATAGACTTTCAATTGCAGTCTTCTGTGAATGAGCTCCACCTGATTTCTGATCTTCAACACTCTTTTGGCCAAGAGACGAATAATATATTGCCATATGACTAGGCGAACGACACCAATACAAGTGTTAGAGCCAATCAAATATTCACCTTTATGTTGTCTTCTGCGTTGGAGACAAGTGACTACATTACTTTGCGTCGCCAAATCCACCTGAATTATTCTTAGACTTCTTCCCATTGGATCTCTTTGATTGATCCGTGTGTTCTTCTTCTTCACTACGAATCATTTTGTGCTTCTCCTTACACTTCTAAGTAAGCTAATAGTCGTTCTTCACTTTTCTAGCTTGTTCTATTAATACTAAGTATTCATCAATCCATAAAGGCACCAATGACTTCCTGATCGAATCCTTTAATTCTGAAAGAAATCTGCAACACTTTTCTTCTGCACTAGCGATCAACTATGACACATAACTCGACATTGTAGTGAATTCTATTTCGTACTGCATGAATTCCTTCTCTCTTTGCCTCAACTTGATGAACTTGTTCTGTATCCGCCTTAGAGCGAAAAGGGGTACAAACCATTCTCTGTTGAATAGCTCCACGAATTCCTCCCAACTAACCATTATATCGGGTATGTCCCCTAGCTTGTCCTGATGCTGCCCACGCCAACACCATTTGGCTTCTCCATCGAGTGCTAACGTAGCTAATGACACTTTTTCATCCGGACAAGTCATGCTATCTAATATATTCTCTATCCCCATTAGCCAGTTCTTCGCTTTAATCGGGTCTTCAGTTCTCTTGAACAAATGTGGACATAGATCTTGAAATATTTTTAGGTACTTATCCACAGCGATTTTATCATTTCCGATTGGCTATGATATGGACTCTTGAATCAACCAAGTCATCGCCACCATCATGCGGGTCAGGACATTTGCGTTTACATTTATAACAGGTTGCACTTCTTCGTTTAATATTAGATTCTCTTTTTCTATATTTTTGGGCATATCACTACGCCTGAATGAACATAATTATTAATTTAACTTTAATTTTAATTTTTTTATTATTAAATTTTCCTATTATTACCCTATTAGCTCTTTCATCAAGATTAATTAATCCTAAATCTTGGCTCTGATACCACTTTTGTTATGGCCCGACCCGAAGTTTGGAATTAACCAAGACAAGAATAGACGACTGGACGGTGAGAATTAAATTTTCCCATTTTTATTTTCTATAACTAAGTATAAACAAATGAAAGACCTACTGATTAAATTAAATTAAAATAATATATTTAAATTGACCTCGTTACTGGTTGACTGTCTTCTATAAATATTATCTCTTCTATCGTTCATATTTTAATCATTTAATTAACTTGAAAAGTTAGTTTAAAATGAAAATAAGCAGAAAAAGCTTTCTCTGCATGCGGGATCTAGTCTCTCCACGCAGCTTCCTCTTCCCCTCCCATCATCATCTTTTCCTTCTCCTCCTCCTCCGGCTAAGGGATCCAAACGTACACGGTCAACGCTTCAGCTCCCTCATACGTCATCCTTTTCTTCTTCGCACGCCGCTCACCGCTACAAAGAAAAGAAGCGATCCTCTTCTTCGCTCGAGCACAACTCACTACGTCGTATCCTCGGGTAAGAAAAACTCTCAACCCCTCTCCTTCCTTTCTATGCTTTCTGACCGCACACGTTAATTTATAGGGCGAGCTTGTTTGTTTGGCTTCCAACACCCTCGCTTTCTCTCCCCTCTATTTGGCTGCCCGATTGCTCATTTCTTCTTCGATTCTTCGTTTCTTTACCCCTAGTAACTGAAACGGGTTGTCAAAAGAAACCGGTCGTCACAACATGAAGGAGGAGAACTGTTCGACCGCAATTCCTGTTTGGTTAATTCTAAGCTATCAGAGCGAGTTGTGACAATTGAAGGGCAACCAAATTATTACCTTTTGTACTTTACTTTCACGTCAGAAGATGCACAAATGTAAATTTAAGTATGATTGTCCTTGTGGAGGGTGAAAACCTGATTCATAAGCGTACTGAGTCGAACTTATCTTTATTTCAAGGAACTTCCAACTTTTGCAAAAAGAATTTTTTATTTTTTTTCTTTGAAAAGTCTAACCCTATTGATTTGTTGAACCAGATTGATTGCTATGAGACGCCTTGGTTGGTCTCACTGTTCATTTTTGTTTGATGAATCAAATATATATATTCTGCAGTGCCCTATTTTTGTTTCGTGGATGCGTTGTTTTAAAAATCTCAAGTAGGATTTTCCTTTGATGGAATGTTTTAATCCTTTTCGTTGTACAGTCATCACTTATGTATTTCCCATGTCTTATTTACTCGATGCTTTTCCTCCTCAGATTATAACCTTCTATATGTGTATCATACAGAAATGCTGTTTGAAGGATCAAATATCTTCCCAGGTGGCATACTACAACAATATGCGTGATCCTTTTGATGCTGAATATCATGTTTCTTATGTTGGTGGTCAGTCTCCACCAGAGCCTGTTCTTCCAGATATGAGACCATCCACAGCCGGTTATATTCTTGGGAATGATGATCCGACATTTTGGACTACTTCGACTGATTCGTTAGTGCGGTGATTCCTCTATGAAGATTCTTGAATCCGAAAGTAATACTTGCTGTATTGTTTTATGCACAAATATATGCTTGTATAACAGACATCAATTTCAAAGAGGTTCAGATGTGAGGCTGTTAAAAGATGATGTCAATAATACCCTCCTTGATCATGAACTCATGGTAGGTATTATGAGAGTTCATCAGTCTTTGATCTCCTTAGCTACAGCAGATATTGTTTCTGATTGATCTTTGAGCATAAAGTGGACTAGGTTTATAAACTTTTTTTTAATCATTTTTCATCAGGAACTGTCCTCCAAATCTCAGCAACAAGAAGAGGAGATTATGTTTCTTCGCAAACAAATCAGAGATGCTAGTTCCAAGGTAGCATCTCTTTGGAGTAATAGATGATCACATAATGATATGATAATATCTTCTATTTTTCGAATTTTACTATAGCATAGTGTATTTGAACTATTTGCTTGTTTTTCAGGAGCTTCAGCTGTTGAATGAGAAGCATGTTTTAGAAAGAAAACTTTCTGAACTTAGATTGGTCAGTGTTATTTTGTTGAATTTTGTTCTAATTGTTTTCCTTTTTCATAGTAAATTTTGACCCAAATTGTTTCTTGAAATCAGGCAATTGATGAAAAGCAGGATGATGCTATATCGGACTCCATGAAGGATTTGACTCAAAGAAGAGGTTGTATTGAGGAGAATTTAAAACTAACAAATGATTTAAAAGTATGACTACCTTATCCATGACAGAAACAATGCAGCTGGTTTCTTTTTTGTAAATTTTAATTCAATTTTTATTTCCATCTGATTAAATTTGTATTGGTTCTTTTTAAACTAATGCCATGTAGGTGGGTAAGGCTCATGATGATGTTCCAATTAGGCTTGTTTTTTATATATTTTTAGTGGGCAATACAATTTTTTGTGAATACTTTAGTATATTATATGTATGCATTTTCTCGGATTTATTTTTGTGAAAATTTTATTCCAGTTAGATTGCTTGTTATTTTTGTTTTGTGTTGATGAATTTTTCTGTGTAGTCAATATGCCTAGAAATTGGAAACCATCAGTTAATTTGGTGAAGCGAAATTTTAAGATGCTCTGTCGCTTCAAAATCATGTTAAGACCATATTGAAGGATAATTAGAGCTTTGAACATCCATATTGCTTCTCATATAAATTAAGATTGGGGCAATTTGTTACATTAGTACTGTGTCATTAGCTGTTTTGAGTTAATCAAATGATCAACAAAAGCAGTAATTTTAATTCCAAAAGCAAAAAAATGTAGTATGATATTCATAGTATTTTTTGATGATTGAAAATTGAAATCCCTAATTTGTAAGGACTTATGAATTTTGATGATGGCCATTTGATTAGGAATTAAAATAATTTTGATGATATGACTGATTCGTCGTTTTTGCTTTTATTTGTGATTTGTATTTACGAAATATTTAGTTTTTTCCTCTTTTTTATTGTATTATATATTAATTTTATTTTATTTTATTGTAATTTTTTTAGGGTTCTATTGATTGTAAATGTGGATAAGAATAATTGATTGAATTGAAGAGTGAGCAAATGCCTCTACCTCTACCTGAAACTGTTTTAGGATTTCTAGAAGGTGTTTAAGGATCAGAATTAGTTGGGAGTTTGTAAAATGACAAGAGGATGAGATATGCAAAATCTGTGAATTTTGGATGGAGGTTGAAGCAAATTGGTGGTTTTATGGTCTAAAATTTGTGAGGTGAACGATGAAATGGCGAGTTATAGATGACGGGGAGGATCCACCACCTATCCTCTTTAAGCTATAGATTCACCACTTGAACAAAAATATGCTATAGCTCTCTAAACAGAAGAAAATAGGGAGAAAAGTCTCAAAATAGCAGTTGTCAAAGCAAAACTCCCCAAAATCACTAAATAAATACAAATAGTTTTCAAATAAGATAAATCTAATTCTATTTTTAATAATATAAATTTTTTACCTATAAGGCTAAAACAGCCTAAACAGTGGGATATTTTCTGCTATAACAGTAGGATGGGGGTCTCCATCTCTCGCGTACCCCCTGGATGTGATTCCTCATCCCAAGGACGCCCCTGTATCATTCTCCCCATGTGGTAGAGATTTCATCTTCATCTTCGAAAGCACTGTAATCTTTGTTGTACGACGACAAATCAACAACATTAAAGGTGGCATAAACATTATAATTACTTGATGATTAATCTTATAAGCATTGTCATTAATTTTCTTGATGATTTTGGTTGGACCGTCTATTCTAGGCTCGAGTTTTTTAGATGAACTTGCAGGAAATTACTTATCTTCATTCTAATCCACACCAAGCCACATTCCTTGAAGACTTGGGCTTTCCTGGAGTTATTTGCCTCATTTTAATATTTAGCATTTGGCTTAACAATTTCTATTTCCACTTGCTCATGTAAAGTTTGATTCTCTCTGTCTCTAACTTCTTCATCCACGCTAAGCTCTGTAGATAGAAGTGTCATCACTAACTCCAAGAAGGTGAGAAGATCTCGACCTTATACAATCTTAAATGGGTTGTGACCTGTGGAATGACTAGTAGATCGTTTGAAGACAAACTCAACCTATGTCAGATTTTAATCTACTGCTTGAAGTTCTTTCCCACAAAACACTTGAAGAGATTTTGTAAACTGTAATTTATAATTTTTGTCTATCCACCTGTCCGCGGGTGACCTATTGAATTGATCCGAAAATTTGTGCCAGCTTAGCCTAGGGATTTTAGAAATGATTAAAAAATTTTGCATCTCTACCAAACTGGTGGTCCTAGGTACACTGTGGATATAGGCTAATTCCGTAAAGTATATGCCTACAATGTCACGACCCGATGTGGGATTTTGAGTTATAACCAAGCCGGAAACGGATGGTCGGAAGGTGGAAATCAATTCTCTGTTATTCTAATTCTATTACTAACAATTTTATATTCAAATATTGCATGAAAGAGCCAACTAAAGAAAACAATAAAAATTAGTAAGTAAAAATTTATACATTTTCGTTTATTGTTCTCGTTTTTTATACACATTTGTTCTTCTATTTATCTTGTTCAAATGTATAAAACTTAAAATAATATTAAAACAACATAATGAGTTATCGAAAGATAACCCAAAAATAATCACTCTTCTATATTACAATAATCCAAGGAGAAGAATTAAATATGTATGCGAGTCTATAAAAAAAATTATAAGCAGTCTCATATATATACTTATAAGCAATCTGATATATGCTAATATATGCGTCAATGATCTTTTTTAAATGAACATGCTCATTATTCTATAAATATTTCCTTTAACTTTACTTTTACTTTATTCTTTACATACACATCTATCTCTGTGAAGATCATGTCAACAAACCTAAAACGCCCTTGGCCGATATTGCCCCATCGGCTCTCATCGGCACGACGGTTAGCTATCCACACATATTATCCCGTCGGCACAGCGGTTAACAATGTAAACATCATAATTGTTTGGGGAGGTAAGCTCTGGTTTACTCGCAACTGACCGATATTATCTTGTTAGTACGACGGTTAGTGATCTAACCATTGAAATTATTTAGGGTGGTACAAAAACTCTACGCGCTAGGGTATATTAGCGTCTCCTGCCTTCCTGTCTTCCTGCCTGTACCATTAGGGCGTTAAATCCTCCACTGAACATGCACATATAAGTTATTTCATTCTTCATATATTCATTATTTTGATACATTTTTATGCAAACATGCATACTTATTCTGCTGTGTAACTATTCATCATACATCACTTTCATATTATTTATATATCTTTCTCATCTCTGTCTCTTACTTATATCAATATCATTCATATATTTCTTACATATCTATTTTACATGTTTATCTTATATATAATGTCTACCCAAATATCGTTCATCTCATACATATCTTTGATGCTGTCGGCGCTTAAAAGGGGAAAAGAGTTTAATGTTTGGGGGTCGCCCGTAAGAAGCTGTCGGCAGCCGGAATCGAAATCCCGTCACCCGTTTCGGAAGGACTTTTGAATTTACGTATATATATATAATTTTAGAAAAATATGAAATCAAACTGACCTCATATTTTTCACAGTTTAAATGAAAGAGCACTCTACCTCAAATCCTGTATCTATCCCGAGGGATAAACACAAGACTTGAGGATGAGGCTCGATCAAATAAACTAAGAAAGATATGACGTCCGTTTGGGTCTGC